TTCCATGTTTGTTTAAGTGTAAATTTTGTTCCAAGTTTTCTTTTTTCTTTTTAATTTTGAGTGTTTAACTTGCTTGATTTATAATTTAGCGATATTTAATTTTTTTAAAACCATTTATCTCTGGATCATTTTTTTAATTAAAAAAAAAATTGATGAATCAATCTGGATAGGTTACTTTCACATGTAATCTACCCTTTGGGCGATGAGGGTTTTGATTGGAACAAGAGATATAGATGATGTATGAATAAGGCTCCTCCATATGCTTGCAAGACTTATGACAGTCACAGTTATGTATCAAGAAACTCTCACATGAAAACAGTTTATTTTAAATAACAGAGTATTATTGTTAGTGTGTGTCAAAGTTAACTTTTTTAAATTTAGGAAAGAAAGGATAAAAGTTTGAGAAAATAGTGTGTTTTTTTTTTAAATCAATAAAAACAGCATCTCAAATATAAAGTTTTTTAAATAACAAATATAATTTATCTAGAGTAACATTTTATATTTTAATTTTTTTTAAAATTTGAACTGATGCGCATTAATTTAATCAGATTTGATGGAGTTTATCTGTGTATTTACAAGTGAGTGTTCCATGTATGAGTGTTGGGGAGGGGTACTTTTTAGTTTATGCCATATCTATGTTTACCCATTAAAAGGAAAGTATTCAAACTTTTTGTTTTAATGGGACAACTAATTCATAAAGATCTCAAAATGATTTATGCTGGATTGTACTTCAACCTTTGGTAATGAGATCAAGCTTTCTAAAATTAGAGACAATCTTAAGATCCTTTACATAGTTACAGCGGTGATCTTAAAATATGTTATAAAACAAAATCGTTTCAATATTTAAATTTTAATTTTTTTTATTTATCAGGTAATTGTTATTCATAAACTGAATGAAAATGCAGAATATTTTTAGAAAGATTAAGAAAAATGTGCAAGCAAAGTTTCTTATATCTTGATCAAATCTTCCATCTAAGTCTAAGCAGTGGTTTTCAACAATTTTTTTAGCTAAAACTAACTAATTCCCTAAATTTCGCAACGCACTATAAAAATTTTTGGCTGTTGAGTGAGGAACAGTATTAAATAAAGTATATTTATATTAGATTTGCTGGATTATATTATGTTACCCTACTAACTTTGTGGGTAAAATTAAACCCCCACACACCCCCCCTCCCCCAAATCAATTTTAAACACTCCTCTATTTAATCTTGGTATACACATGTTAACCTTTCATAAAACCTGTGTGTTTTATGAAAGGTTGGAAGTCGCTGTTCTTTCTTGAAACTAATTTTACTCTTAAGATTTCATTTAATGTGTGTGTTCTCAGCTGATATCAGCTAATGATGTTAGTAATTAAGACTGATAATTTTATGTTATGGGAATGTATGCTTTTTCCGAAAGAAATCCAATGTCTTGAACCAGCCATACTCAAAATTGGAAAAAACTATTGAGCTTATGATAACTATTTTAATACTCCTATCTTAAAGGCTTAAATGATCCTTTCCTTTATAATATATTACCTTGTTGTGTTTGTTTATTTAATTGTGTAACGTTCACTTGCAACATTTACCATTCTTAGTTTTCTTACTTATTTAATAATTTATAGTAATCCTTTCAACATTATGCATTTAAAGATCATTGCTAGAGTAATATATATTGTGAATTCCATCTGAATTTTTTTGAAGGAAATACAGAAAGAATATGTTTTTTCAGTATTGCAAAGCAAGTAGTCATTTCTGGAGGTTGAAAGAAATTTGGTACTGGCATCTGTGTTTAAACTTCTGTTTGAAACTGATTTGTTAAAAGTCTAGCTAAAAAAAACAAACATTTATTTCTTTATAAATTACTTTGTATAATCCCGTTGATTGAACACTCAAAAAATCTTCATTTAAATTGTATTCTCTTCATAAAGGAAGCTTTTTGTTTCATGCAACAGATATTATAAAAAGTGAAATTATTTTCTTTCTAGCCAAGATCAACTCAGGAAGCACTTAATTGCCATAAACAGATTACATCCAAGAACTCAGTAAATATTTGTTTGAGCTATATAAAAAAAAGAACCATTAAACCAGAGAATAAACTTAGGTGGGTGAAGAGGAGAAGGCTGTGTTCTAAAGTAGGATAAAATCAGTGGTACTTGATCCTCTGTCATATGAGAAATATGTTTGTGTTCTTAGTCATAAGTTGTTTGTTTTTCTAACCCACACATATAAAGAGAAGTCGCAGAACAAAAATCGCATAATGCTAAATCTTTCAAATAATTTGTTTTACAAGTGTTTGTGGTGAAATCGCTCAATAAGTAATGACTTTTACAAATCACATTACTGAAAATTAGAAATCTATATAAAGGATATCTGATTTGGTTTTCACTTTTTTAAAATATTTTTTTAAAAATAAAAAAAAACAAATGAGCAAAAGCTTATTAACCCGCCTGCTTCAATGCTGTGATCCAATTTATATATGCTTATTTGTTGGGTGTTCAATGTTAAGTTAAATCATACCTGATGTACCAGCAAACATAAATTAAGTTCATTAAACAAAGGTGTACATATTTAGAAATTTACTGCAGTATTTGTGGAATCTCAATATTTATGTTGTTCAACAAAAAAAAATAAAAAAATTATATGTAGATAATGCTTTCAAATATCTTGATTTTCTTCCTTTTTTTTAAATATGTGACCAACATGTTATAATGTATGTTTTTGATTTATAGGAATTATTATTATTTCCATTTTCAATGAAACTAGTAAACATTAAAAAGAAAGACAAAATACGAACTGAAGTCTGAAGTGTTGATAATGTTTGAAATTGTATCTATCCATCCCTGGGGCGCTACAGCCCATGTAGGGCTTTGGCCTGCCTCACTACTTCCTTCCACTCAAACTTAACTAATGATTTTCTTTAACATGTTTGGATTCCCAGCTGCTGCAGATCTTTTTCCACATCATCCATCCATCTAATCCTAGGTCGGCCCTTGAGCTATTTTCCTCTGAGGTTACCCTCTTCACTCCTCTGTCATTTGGCCTTTTCTCTGTGTCCCGCCCAGTGTAACCTGCCCTTTTTTATTTCTGCTACTATCATGGGAACCTGGTATAGACTGTATAATTCCTGGTTGGTTCGTATTCTCCATCCACATTCATCCTTTGTTGGTCCATATATTTTCTGGAGAACTTTTCTCTCCCATGTATTTAATAGCTTTTCTGCCATTTTTGTTTGGGTCCAAGTATATTACAACTGGTCTGATTACAGTTTTATAAATAAGTTTTCTTTGTTCTTCTTGTAATGTTTTTTACTTTTGAGTATTTTCTGACTACTGAAGTAAGCCCTGTTTCCGGCCGATATTCTTTCTTTCATTTCTGGTAGTACTTCGTTACTTTCATTTAATAAAGATCCCTGGTATTTGAATTGATTTACTTTTTCAAAAGTGTGGTATAAAATGTTTATTTTTCCAAATCTCCTGTGGAAAGGCTTTTCAAATTAAACTGAAAGTTTTCATTGCCAAATTATGAAACTAATTTGTTAAACTGAAAATTAATCATCTAGGTATGCGAAGCTTGTTGCTTTATGGATAAGAAAATTGTCTCCTACCAAAAAATTACATAAAATTCATGTTACAAAAATTTAGAATTGCCCATTTCTCTTGAAAAGAACAGATCTGGTTACTCTTGCAGATATGGTCAGTAGCTTTTTTCAGCCAGTAAGCCGTCCACAGGTTTCATGGTATTTTTAAAAAAATGACTGAGTCTTGAACCTTTGCCAACTCTCCATACAGCATATTCTTTGGAATACGGCCTTCCTCCAGAGTCCTTTCATTGACTAACCAGCAGAGTGGCCCCTTGCTAAGAGCAGAGACCACCATACACATTTTGGCCCATTCCAAAATCTCTGCTAGACACTTAATCCTGCCCAAGGTATTAGCAATATGCAATGCAGACATCTTTGGAAGCTCTTGAGTTTCTGCTCACGATTGGCGTATTTGGTCCACACTTCACTGCCACATAGGAGAGTACTGAGCACACATGCATGCTAGACGCTTAGTTTTGTGCTTTCAGTGAGTATAGGATTATTCCACACCTGCTTGTTCAATCTAGGTATGGTTGCTGTTGAGATCTCTTCATTAACGGAGGTTGGCTAGAGATAATGGACCCAAGGTATGTGAAATTCTCAACTTCTGACTGATTATGGCCCTCATTGGTTATGTTTGGAGGGGAATGTGTTTCTAGTGGGATAATTGTTTTCTTAGACCAGTGGTAGGTTGGCTAACTCATTAGTCAAAAGAGCCAAAAATCAGAAGCAGGGCGATTTAAATATTTTTGAGAGACAAATTTTTTTTCAAGAATCTGCCAAGAACCATGTTTTCTTGGAGTCAAAACTGATTTCTGGCCAAGCCATACTCAGGTCGCGTAAGAGCATGATTTGCCGACCACTGTCTTCGACTAATGTTCAGTCCAAAATCTTTACATGTGTGGGTGAGGTTAACTGCTGCAGACCTGTGTGGGATGTTATGGTGACATCTTCAGTGAACATGAATTAGAACCTTTTTAACTATGGTCTTTGCACAAAGATGGCGATATTGAACCGCCTACCATCAGATCTCATTATTATGGTATATAAATTTCACACTAAATATTTGAAAAATAAATCCTTCCTCCGAATAAAAAAAGCTTAAATTATTTGAATGTATTTTATTGTTGGGGATAATTTACACATACTATTTTCATTTAAAAGTTTTGTTAAGAAATACTTTAAAATTTTTACTTTCCACCCAAATTTAAAAATGTATTACGGTAACAACCAAAAATGATTCTAATATACAAGCAACTCCTTCCCAGCTTATCAGGTTTTTTTGTATGGTACATCAAATCAGCATTTTAATTTACTCCAAATAAAATAAAAATAATATGAAACAAAAAGACCTTCATGCTTCATATTTAAAACATTTATTTAAAAAATCTTTTTGCAAATAAGAAATTATATGTATTATAAAGTTACACTGACACATTAATTTCAGTTTTGTGGTTGATAAATTTTTACTACTGTACCAATCTTGTGGGCAATACATTTAGCTGCAAGAATTTTAATTGACAAAAAGGTTTTCTAATGTCTGTTAAATATTACTCTGATAACTTAAAGGCTACAGCAGCTTCAAAATTAGAATTTAAAATCTTTTAAATATTGAAATATGTTTGTTTTGTTAAGTACTCTGTGGCACTATTTTACACATTTTCAATTAAATCTATCCGGGTATTTTCAAGTACAATTCTTTCACATGAAAATAATAAATATTGAATAGTTTTCAGTCTTTTCACACCATTTGTACAATTTGTGCTTCATGGATTGGTTCCTGTCACAATCTTATACCACTCATTTTATAATTTCAATAAAAAGATACTCCTACTAATAAAATATTTAAAATCTAAAACAAAACAACAATTATGCGATGTTTGCAAGGTTTCTTAATATCTTTTTCCCGCATTAGTAATTACAAAATATTTGTTAAATCAAGATTCACCATTCTTACACTGATTAATATTTAAACATGAAAATATTTACACAAGTATTTTAACAATAGTGCTAAGTAAGTGAGAAAACTGGCATGCTATATGAATCTAGTAGTCCATAGGACCCAATAATGATTTGATAGCCAAAAGTTATGGTTTGTGTCAAGCAGCTTAATTACTCATGATTTGATAGCCAAAAGTTATGGTTTGTGTCAAGCAGCTTAATTACTCTTGCATGTGGAGAGGATTTTTTACAATATGATTATAGTGAATTATAGTCATGCAAGTAAATTGAAAAACAAAAAGACAGGATGAAGTGGAGATTTAGTCATATCAATCAAATTTAACAATTTGTTTTGAGTACTGCACTTACATGGATTTACCAGCATGTAATCCTTCAAAATACATGCCCACATTTTCACTGATGGCAATAAACTGACCAATAGAATTAACTATTTTTTTGGATGTGCTATTGTATGTGTTCATTTTGAAGAGCTTACCAAAAACCAGACTGAGGGTATAATAAAGCAGTGTCATCATACAAGTGAATCATCCCCCCACCCCTTTTCCAATGTAAAGGATCAAATAAGAATAATACCTCCATTAAGCTATTAATAGACCTCGCTTGTGATTGCATCTCACCAGACCAAACCTGAGACTAGTGACTTGGCAATAAGCTGGTGAGTAGAACTGAAATACTGGCATTATATAAAAAATATATATAAATTTAAGTATAAAAAAAAAAAAAAAGATCACATGCATATAAAACAAACATATTTAAGAAGTGCCTTAACATGTTAAAGTGCAGTTCATTTAAAATTTTCAAAACCAGAAGACAACATGGTTAAGTCATTCATGTAGTGTATTTGGTTGAGACTTAAGCTTTAAAAAGATTACATGTATTTAAAAATATATACTGTGCATATATTTCATTTACATTTTAAAAACCCTCAAAACTTATTGAGATGTTAAATATTTGGTGTCGTTAAAAGTGTTAAATTTGTAGTCATCACCAATTGGAAAAAGAGAACTGACAATCTTTAGTAAAAAGTTTACCGATTTCTTTCTAAAGTAATCAAAGAAGTATAGCAGAAGTTAGTTGAGGCCAACCAAGTTTAATATTGACAGGAAATATATTTTCAGTTCAAAAGGCATAGCCGTTTCACAGACTGTAAAAATAATTAAAACAATTGGAAGCTGTGGTGATGGTAGAATCCTTGCAAAAATAAAAATAATTTTAAAATAAATCAGTACATTTTGTAAAATAAGCATTCCAGTGGTCCTTTTCTTAAAGATTTTTTTAAACAGAAGTATCAATATTATGCACTTCACACACACATATTTCATTCCAAATACAATTTTTAACCAAAATAATTTTAAAACATTTTTATAAGTATTATAAGAATATAAGTATGTGAGTTTGAAAAAATACAAAATAATAATTTACACTAACATTTACTTAGAATAATGATGGGATAAAAAATGAGCTACTCTTGTAATAAGATTTAAAAAATCATCAGCGTGAACATTTTCAATCAGATTAATTCATTAGTTGTTCTGTAACCATGGGAACTCCCAGATATAACTAATTATAAACACGATTTCAAATTCAAACACTTATATATCTTTCTGCTTTAGTGTGTCCATAAAAAATGCTATACTACTATTGAAATAGCAGTTTAGTACTTTCAATAGTAACTATTTAGAAAAATGTATTCTGGGGAGAGTCCCACATTGAAATGACAGCGATTAGTTTGTTTGTTTTTTTATAGAAAAAAGCCATTTTTAACGACTAGGATGCATTACATATCAGTAAAAACAACAAATCAATACATAGACAAAAGGGACAGTAATAAAAAAATAAAAAAACTACAAAAGAGACATGTTAGCTCATGTTGATCACTTGTGGATGGCTGTGACTTGCGGCCTGAACGACATGTTTTACCTGATGAGAGGAGACAGTATACACATCAGTCAAAATTACAACTGGTTTAAATAATACCACAAAAAAACTTTACATAGACATTGGACTACTATTTTCTGGTTTAGTATTGGAACAACTGTTATATTATCCCATTCCTGCCTATCATGAAGTATCAAGTTTGAACAGGACAACTAGCAACCTAACTGAAAGATACATGACTACTAAGGTTTACAGCCATTCTCACAAGAAGCTCACTTATTAGCAACACTATGAAACAGACAGTTGTAAATCAATTACATTTAAATTTAAAATAACTCTGAATATGAAATGAATTTTTCGTCAAATAATTTATTAAGTTTAAATATTATTTTATATATAGGCTAATTTTATCTTGATGAATAAATTTCATTCATTCCAAACACCCCCCCCCCCCCAACCAATTTTCAAATGAAGTTATGCCGCTTCGCCACAGTTACTGTGAAAATAGGTTATAAGAAGTGGGTTATTCCTGACCTTATTTTATCTTGATGAATAAATTTCCTTCCTTCCAAACCCCCCCCCCCCCCAACCAATTTTCAAATGAAGTTATGCCGCTTCGGCACAGTTACTGTGAAAATAGGTTATAAGGAGTGGGTTATTCCTGACCTTTGAACAGTATTGATCGCTATGAGTAATTTGATTGTACAAGTGGGCCGAGACAAGATAAAGGTAGATTAGATTAGAAAATGGCACTTCAAGTCTTTAAGTGTACCGTAACAAGTTTATGTTTAAGCTTTTATTTTACACCTGTCAAAATATCCTGATCTTTGATCTTACTCAAGTCAGCAGGACATAGTTTACATCACAGAATACAAACAAAGAATAGCTGGGTTTAAGCTATGAATTATAATAGTTACCCAGTATATTAGGTTACAATAACATTAGCATTTCTTCCGTGCTCATATCCTTATTGTAGTAATGCATTGTTGAGTGTCATAAGTGGTGAGATGTTGGCAATTATGAAGGATGTCGTGAAATATTTTTTTGCTAGATGTGTTCCTGAGATTGTGTAGGGTGGAAGAAACACATTTTTGGGCCATGGGAAATGCCAGGTGGTCTAAGGAAAGTGTTTGGGATGTGCTAAGGTTTAATGTGATAAGCCATGTTGTTAGTGTTCCATTAGGAATTCACAGAGGCACAACTTACACAGCATAAAGTCAGAAGATTACCCAAAACAGTGCGGCCCTGTGCAGGGACATACGACGCTGCTCCTGAATGCCCATTCAGACATGTGTCTGCTCTTACAAAAGGAATTTTGCTCTGAAGGTCCATTTTCCCAAACTTTTGCCAACTTGATGGCCCATGACAGTAAATACCACCAAAGGTTGCGACTCTGCTAGCATCTTATAAAAGGGTAGGGAATCAATTGAACCCTAAGAGCGGTAAGAGTTATTTATAACTCATGTACTATGTGGTGGTAAAAATCACCACAAATTATTCTGAGCCAGGTGCAGAGCACTTTCAAGACTCATACAAACACTTTGGATACTCTTCAGTTTAAAATTTGGAACTCAATGCCTCACTTGAAAGGGACAAATTTTGAGTTTTAAACTATTTACTCAAAAAAATTGATCCAGATAATGATTATGTTGGCAAGATCTATTATAATAGCACAGTATCTTCAACAAGAAACATGGAGATTAATTCATTCCACATGTTTTATTTCACTGAACAGCAGGTCCTCACCTCTGCCAAACATGTGTCTCCCTGTTCAGCTGGTGCAAGAGGTCTCCGTTCATACTTTCTCCTATGCATACTATCCACCTCCGAAAGATACCATGTCCCAGGGAATAAAACAGATACTGAGCCCACTGGTGTGTAGGGGGCTGCAAAGGAAAAAAAAAGAAGATTTGGGTGAAATATTAAAAATCGCGAGATAGTTGTATTTCAAAGTTTCTCAGAACCAAATAGACCCACATCCAATGAGAGATTTGGAATCTGTTTACTCCAATTATTTTATCACCCCAATCCCTAATTCCATCAGAATCTATCATTACTATTCTGTTATTTTAAAATATAGAATTGTTTTTTTTTGTGTGGGTGAACAAACATATCTTAACGTAAAGGTATTTCTTATAAAAACATAATTTTTCTACAAATTTTAATGAGTTACGAAATCAACATGAGCCCTTTAAATTTATAATGCTACAGAAAATGACCAGCAAGTTTGACTAAGCTGTTATCTTGACAGAGCAGGCAAAGAGTTCTGATAAATACTTTTCATTAAGTTAAGTTTTAAATGCAGGGAAGGGTCATACCCAAATGATGGGTCTGTTCTCTCAGTTTCATATAGCTATCAAAGTCCTCTGGTCTCACACACTGACGACTTTCAAGCCTTTGCTTTAGATCTGACAAACTATTTACAAGACGCTCCAGGGCACCACCTGCAGCTTTGTTATCAGAAAACTGCAGAGAAAACATTGAAGATGCCAAGCCTGATCCGTAAGAAAAAAGCACAACTCTTTTTCTTGCTATAGAGTCCAATGTCTGCCTGTATGAAAACCAAAAATTACTAAAATTAATTTAGTTGGAAAATGACTTAGGCATTTAAATATTTTAAAACTACTGACGAATAAAATAAAATATGGTCAAATGATACAAAGTTCAGTTGCCTTGGTTAACTGGCTGAACGTATTTTACATCTCCCAATAATTACAATAAGACAACTAGTTTTACGATTTGGCTTACATTCCGTGTTTCGAAAAAAAAATACAAGTTCAGATTGCTAATACTATGAAATGTTTATAATGTTAAAATTGTACTTTTTTAAAAGTTTGAAGTACTTTAAGGTTCAATAAAACTTTCTAGGTACAGAAAAAAATATGAGTGTATAACCAAGTTTGTATGAAACCACTAATTACTTACCCACTAATGAAACTAGCAAGACCACCATACAATGATGGAGTGTACATATTTCCAACTTGGTTGGCTACCAACAGGGCTTGCTTGGTCTTTACATCAAACAATTCTTTGCTAGCTGTCATCACAGCATTCTCAACAGCTCTATCAAAGTATGTGTCTTCAAGCTTGATATCTCTGGAAATGGATTGATATCTTACTTATTTCAAAGTTAAAATTATATCTAAAAAGGAATATTGTTTTAAATGTATCCATCTAATTGTGTATTTTACATTAATAATTTTTTTTTCTTTTACATTTGACACAGTATATACACTCGTTATTTATGACTGAATTTTTCAATCAATAATGACAATTTCATTATTGAATTAGCTAATTTTAACAGAAATAAATAATTTATTTACATACCTTAGTGCTTCCAAACCAGCATATCTGCCACTGAAATCAGGGGAACTATCCCTCAAAAAGTCATTCAGCAATATTCTAGCAAAAGATTTCTGTACAAGCTTGCAGTATGGAGAATGGAACAAGAAAGCATCACCCACATCAAGAGTACTGTTACCAGCTGAAAGCACAAGTTTAAAAAAAATAACAATAATAACTTCTTAAGTCTTTCAAAAGTGTAAGTGATAAAAATTAACCAAGAAATTGTAAATCTTGCAATAATAAGTTTTTTTCTCAAATATCTTCAAGAAATTAGACAAAATGCAACCATCTCCTAATAATTCCATGACATTAAAAGTACAATTATTTTAAAAGTTCAACCATATTACTTTAAACCTGTAATAAACCTTAAATTAAAATGCACAGTATGAAAGGAGTCGATTACTTCTAATTCCAGCTGCAATGGCTTTGTTCGTAAATCTTTCGTAGCATTTGTCTAATGCATGGAGGTAACACTGTATGCTCAACTTCCCATCCACTGTTGGATATTCTGAAGCCATATCAGGCTTATAAAAATCATATACATGCTGCATGTGTGAGCTCCTTACACCTGAGGCAAGAAAAAATAAAAATAAGAAGATATAAAATCTCAGTGCTACTTCAATGTAAACATTTATTCTCTCTCTTTTTTTTTCCTTCTTATTTTTATGTCAGGTGTGAGCCAGTGTGGCCAGCCAATAGTTGTAAAACGACATATATATTTAATAGTTCAATTTTGTAAAAACTAATAATTGCAACCATTGTGTGTTCCTTTTAAATATTGTATTGTTGTATAAAATAGTTTTCTGAACAGTAATTATTTTCTTATTCCCACGACAGTAAACATTCCATCCAATAGATTTTAACTCATTTTCCTCCAAATGTTTTTTTAAATTCCTTATTCCAAACAATTTTTAGATTTAGGAGAATCTCTCACTATCACCTTGGTTAACAATGCATGATTGGACTTACCAGGTGTCCATTGATGAAGACATCATAAAGAGAAGATGGGAGGTGGATAGGCCACACTCTCCGAAAACCTCCAGATAGCATTATCAGATAGTCTCTAACATGGAATCCACAGGGAAAAAGAACGAGAGGAAGGCCAAAGAATACATAAAGACGCTAGCTAGAGGCAGAAACGCAAAATATGGAATACACCTGGAAGCAACTAGAAAGGAAGGCACAGGACCATGATGAATGGAAAATTATTGTGGACGGCCTATGCTCCAGACAGGGTAAAAAGGTATAAGAAAAAGAAAAGAATGCATGATTTGAAAGGATTAAGAACCAAAGTAATATGAATTTATGACAACGAGCACTTCACCAAGAAATGAATCCCGTAGACATGAAATGAACTACTACCCGGTATTTACCCCTGTCTATTACAAGTGGAGCATCTGGTCCCACCAACATGGCCACTGCTCCAGCACCACCAGTACATCTTGCATTTCCGGTAGCATACACTGCTATATCACCAGCTACCACAAGAGCATAACGACCTGTGATGAAAAGTTTTTAAAATTAGTTGTATTACAAAATGATTAAATTTACAACAATTTTAATAACATTTCTGCTAAATCTGATGTATTTATAATTACTTAAATGGAATTGCCTAAAAATATTTTAGTGTATCTATTTAAATTTAGGAAGATCTTACCATCCCAAGAACTTGACTCCACCCAATTGATAGCATTAAAAAGTGCAGCAGTACCACCATAGCAGGCATTAGTTGTGTCCACACCCTCCACATCAGTGTTTCCGCTGTCTTCAAACAACTGCATCAAGACTGTCTTCGCACTTTTGGATTTGTCTATAATTGTTTCAGTTCCCACTTCCAGTCTGCCAATATCTCCATAATCAATACCATTTCTTTCCATAAGTTTCTGGACAACTGTAAGACAGAGAGTGTTGATGTCCTCTCTGTCTGAGCAGAATCCCATCTTACTCTGACCAAGACCTACTGTGTATTTACCAGCAGAAACACCATCAAAAAGCTCTAGTTGAGTTTGATCAACATACTGAGAAGGGAAGTAAATTTCAAGGGCCAGGATACCAACTTCCTGGGGCCATCCTTGAGGTCTAGCATTTGCTGGTCCAGGCATCATGAAGATTTTTTATTATATATTTTCTGAAATTTTTAAATAAAGTTAGGATGTTGCTTAGCCTATAATTTTGATATTGGATATATTTGTATAATTAGCTTTGAAATACTTCCCATTTTCAATATATATAGCATAGAAGAAGTCTTAAAATATCTTACATTTAAAGACTAAAAATAAACTTTAAAAATAATTAATTATTAATATTAATATATATATAATTATAACTTTTAATTTTAGTCTTTTAGGCCCTGCCTTAAACTAAAGAAGTATAAAGAAAAGTTAAACATTTAAATTTTAGCACCTCACCCCCTAAAAAATTCTTCTATTGATTTATGTGGGGGGGTTTAGTGGCTTAGGAATGATTCATTGAATTTAATAATTTTATACTTAAATGGTTGGCCTGTACATCTAATTGAGAAAGCGAAAGTGTAAAAAAAAAAAAGTATATGGAAAAAAATGATATACATGAATACACCGAATGAGCACTACTTAAACCTCGTATAGCCAAGCCATGTTGATGTTATTGCACATCTTTACAATGATCGAAAAAATATCTTTAAAAAAAACCAACTTACAATAAAATATTTACCAGTTTCTAAAATACTCGTTTAATATTTGCCGGTTCACGTCTGGTGAGAGGATCCCGTAGTGTTTCTAATTGATGAATAAATAAGTAGTACTGAAGAATACGCATGCGTGAAAGAAATATCCACCAATCAGAATACTGGGAAAAACAGGAATCGGGTCATCCAACAGTCGTACGATATGCCGCTCCAATGGGGAGGCCATGGTTTTCCCGTAAACACTTTGAAAAGACACTGTGTCATGTTTGGGCAAGGGTAATGACCGTATTTAAAAAGAAATTAAAAAAATATATAATTGTTTGCGAGACCTTCCTTTGGAAACTGTTTCATTCAACCCATGCTATTGATATCGTCAAAAGGCAGAGGACGCAAAGAATGAGAAACGTTTTCCTTGTTCAACCTGCCCCACCCCGGGTTTTGAATGAAATGCATAATAAGGATCGTCTTTGTATAAAAGTAAAAGATGTAGCGCAATTTTAAATGGTATCTTACCGATTAAATTGTAAAATGTTTTACTTCTTGTCAGCCCTGTGTAAATTTAAGGCACCCTAAACATGAGATCATGGTGACCACTTCTATGTGTTTTTTAAAAATTTAATATAGGCCTATTATTAAAAGATATTTGCATGACAGATACATTTCATATAGCCCAACTATTAGTCTAATCATTAAAAAAAAATAATTAAAATTCTGATGTAGGCTACAATTGCTTCTATGAGGGTACTATTGCATGGTGGGTGGCGGATAGGGTGATCCTCCACCTTTAACCTCTTTGTGTCAATATGATTGGAAGAGACGATTAGCAGAGGGTAGTCAGTTCTGTCTTGCTTGTTGGCTGACTGTCTGGTCAGTATCTGGTTAGCAGTGTTTGAACAAGCACACACCACAACACAATTGTAATAATTGCTTGGCTAGATAATACCAAAGCGTGGCTTTCAGATAATTATGATGAAGTATGGAATGTAACTTGTCATCTTTTATTCCCAAATCCTCACCAACCAATCTGATTTCAAACATGTTTCACGGGACACGAGTTGAAAATATGACGTATAATCGTTATATATACCGGTATCCTCGGCCTTATGCGACCTCTATGTGAAATTTAGCTACGGTCATGGAATCTAAAAGTCATTTATTTTTATCGCGTACCAAAACCTCCATATTCTGTTACATAACACTGGACGAGTCACTGAGAAAATGATTGCTTATCTTTTGTGAAATAGTCGGTTACTTAAATAGGCCTACTCGAAATCTTCTACTATCGCGCGTTTTTTTAGTTTTATGAAGTAAAATGTATGCCATTAGTAGATGGCAGGACGACTCTTTTATTTTCCATAGAATAAGTATAAGAAAGTGGCATCCCAAGGCTCCCTAAATCGAGGTGAAATTGTATAATTGGAAAAATAGTTTCCCAGTGCGGTGCTTACACCCGAAAAAAAAGTGTGTGGGGTTGGGACACCCGAAAAAAAGTGTGTGTGTGTGTGGGGTTGGGGGTGGTGGAGGCTTTTTAAGATTCTTTGTTGGTTTGGGGCTGTTATACTATAACCCATATAATATATTTGTTTTTTTGTTTTTTGTTTGTTTGCTTTTTAATTTTAAAATTTGCTTTAACGCTTTCTTCATTATGAAACACAGAGCAGCCGATGTACCAAGTTTTTAAGATAAATGTTTTCTTCTATACACGGGTACATGCATAAAATACATGGTTGAAAGTGTATTAATGTGTGCCACTGAATAGCAAGTCGTAAGATTTGGAGTGAAGCTGAAGGGCAGCCAAGATGAAGAGAGCATCATCTTGGCGGAGGGTAATTTTTCGCTTATCAATCGTATTACAAAGTATGCTTGATAATTAAATGAAACATGAAAACATGAACTAAAATAAATAAATGGTACTCTTGCCATGTTTTAACAAGTGCATCCGAAAGGTAGTGGTATGTTTAGCATAAATTCATTAGATTGTAAGTTTTGGACGCTGTCTCATCAAGGCATAAAAAACACTACAGTAGGTTACACACATGGGCGCCCGCAGAAAACTTTCTAGGAGGGGGGCAAAAAAAATCGATTAACTTTCCAGGGGAGGGGGTGAAAAATTTTAGTAATGTTTTAATGTAGTTTTAATTTACTGTAGCGTATTTGTATGATGAACGAATGGGCAGGACATCAGCTTAGTTACTTTCTCTTTATTTTCTATTTACTCTAATAAATTTTCTGTCTATTTTTGTCTAAATTTTTTTATCCAATCAATCCAGAAGGGGGGGGGGGGAAGTGCCCCCCCCCTACCCCCCCCGGGTGCCCATGGCTACCCCTGTGTTTCTTTCAGGCATTTTCTCGGTAAAAAGGGAAGGGGG